GGAATCAGGGTGATGTTGGCCTCGTAGAATGAATTTGGAAGTTCTCCCTCTTTTTCTATTTCCTGAAATAGCTTGAAACAGCAGCACAGACTGGGGACAAGCCTCAACAGCCCGGCCCTCAGGGGACATCCAGGATCCAAACTATAGCAGTGTGTGTGCGTGTGTGTGTGTGTGTGTGTGTGTGTGTGTGGTGTGTGTGTGTGTGTGATGTGTGTGTGTGTGACGTGAGTGTGTGTGTGGTGTGTGTGTGTGTGTGGGTGTGTATGTGTGTGTGTGGTGTGTGTGCATGGTGTGTGTGTGATGTGAGTGTGTATGTGGTATGGTGTGTGTGGGTGTGTGTGTGGTGTGTGTGTGCTGTGTGTATGTGTGTGTGGTGTGTGTGTGCTGTGTGTGTGGTGTGTGTGTGTGTGCATGGTGTGTGTGTGTGTGATGTGTGTATGTGTGTGTGGTGTCTGTGTGTGTGGAGTGTGTGTGTATATGTGTATGTGCATGGTGTGTGTGTGGTGTGTGTGTGTATGTGTGTGCGCATGGTGTGTGTGTGACGTGAGTGTGTGCATGGTGTGTGTGTGGTATGGTGTGTGCTGTGTGCTGTGTGTGTGTGTGTGGTGTGTGTGGTATGGTGTGTGCTGTGTGCTGTGTGTGGTGTGTGTGTGGTGTGTGTGTGTGGTGTGTGTGTGGTGTGTGTGTGTGGTGTGTGTGTGGTGTGTGTGTGTATGTGGTGTGTGTTGGGTTTTGTGGGGTCATGGGAATGCAGCAACGTAAGGACAGACAGGTGCGCTCTGGCTTGTTTCCATGCAGGTTGTCTCCGCAGGTGGAGACAGAGGGTCGGTTGTAAGGGGAAGAGCAACTTGTCCCCAGTAGTGCCTGAGCCCCACTTGACCCCATTCATGCAAAAGCACTCGTGTGTCCCTGCCAAAATAAAAGCCTGAGAAGCCATCTGGGCTCAGGCGTGAGGAACCCTCGTCCACCCCAGACAGCGAGAGTCTTGACTGGGAGGGAATCTGAGCCGGTCTCAAAAGACCAATGGAATTTGACAAGAAAATGGAAAGAATTCCAGCCAAGGACAGAGTTGGGACGGAGAGGCACGTGGAGGGCCAGGTGTTTCCCCAGTCCACGGAGACGGAGGGCCTGTGTTGGAGCCGCATTCCTAAGGGGCCCAGAATTCCACAGACCCTGTCCCCCACGAGGGTGAGACTTGGGAGAAGGACCAGGCCTCACTCCTGTGGTCAGGCGTGTTATAGGGCGAAGGTAAAGGGATTTGCAGATGGGATTAGACAGTTATAATGGAAGGGAGATCAGCCTGGGAGCACATGGCCTGGTGGGGACGTCCTGTAAAAGAGAGCCCAGGTCTCCCTGAGGGGAGAGATGGGAAGCCAGGGATGCTCTGCCACTGCCCCTGAGGAAGCAAGCCATCACTGAAAGGGGGATCCCACAGTTCAGACAGGAGGCACCCCCAAAGCTCCGTGTGAGACGATGCAAGAGGCTTTGCATGGACCACTGATGCAGATTAACTGTGGTAACTGCAGGCAGGGGTGTGGCTGCAGGAGGGGGTCACGGCGTGCCTTTGGGGGTTCTCTTTGCCCTTGGTGAGCGCAGCCTCTCTGCCACCTTCTGGCCCTCCCCGGGCCGCTTGCCCCTGCCACACCCTTCCACCCACCTTGTGCCTCCCCTTGGGCACAGAGTCACGCAGCCCAGTCTGTGGACTGGGACCTCGGAAACTGGGAGTCAAATAAACTTTTCGTCCCCTAATTGCTCGTCAGGCCTTTAGGTCACAGCAGCAAAGTTGACTAAAACAAGAGACTTGGCTGCCCGTCACACTCCACTAAAACTAGGGAGACGTTGGCGAGGAAAACCTGAAGGAAATGCTTCTGTTTGAAATCCCGCCTCCTGGAAAAACACTCTGAGATGGCTGACCCAGGAGTTCTGCAGCCACAGGAAACGAGACCGTCCAGCCACCCTGTGAGCAAGGGACAGGACCCTCGGAGGAGACCCCCAGCCCAGCCCACCTGGGCTGAGCCTTGGAGACCCTCATCTGGGCCTGGCTAGGCGGGTCCCTGACTTCTGACCTCCAGAAACCGGGAGCACATTCTAGAACATTGTTCCATGTGCTCAGGTGACTTACCAGGTAGCCACAGAGAACTACAGCAGCCACCGGTGACAGGCCCCACGTGGGCTCCAGAGAACCACACGGGGCGGCTGCCCTGAGCTGCCGGGCGCACGCTCTGGCGCGGGAGAAGTGCACAC